GGGGGGGGGGGGGGGCCTTGGAGATCTTGTCTGTCCTTTCTCAAGTTCAATGGCAGTTCTTCCAACCCCAGGAGAAGATGGCCATGTTCACAGCCCTAATAATAATTCTGATCACGCCACTTCGTCATCTTGTGTCAAAGTCGAAACTGGCTTCCCCGCCCCCTCCAACCTGAAAGCTGCCAAGTCCTCACACACTCCGCATTCAACCTCAACTTAATGGATGGGATATTGTGCATTAAAATGTGTCCCAGACGTACTGGCGAAAAGAGGACAAGGGAAAAGGGAAACGCGCGCGCGCGCGCACCTCCCCCCTCCCCCCGACTTAGGCAAAGGGGTAAAAATCCTAGGGCAAAAACAACGGGGTGGAAATAAAATACTAACAGAAGAAGGAATCCATCATAATCATTTTTTTTAAAAGGGGGGTGTGGGGCGGGAGAAGAGCTAACAATTTGATGCAACAATTTAGGTGACAGGGGGTGGGGGGGAACTAAACATTAGAATGAATACGGATTTTAAAAACTCCAACACACCAATCAGAGCTAAATAGTACTTCCCTCACTTAAAAAATGTATTTGTAAATGAGAATATGCAACAAAGCTGTACCTTATAATGAAAATTCCTTTCTTGAAGAAAGGAATGCTTCAAGAAGGGAGAATGGGCTACAAGGTATAACTATAAAGTATTTGTACCGTAATTTTTTCCAACATTGAAAGGGGAGGGGGAGAAAGTAGGAAGCTGAGCAGGAAAAAAATGTTAGATTCCACACGATTTGAACTCACAATGTTATTCACTGATTCCCGCCATAAAGTATGTCACATGCACTGAAGTTGCCAACGCTAAAAAAAAGAAAAGAAAAAGAAATACATATTTGTATTAGTTCAGGAAATCCTGCACTATAGCTCAACCTGTAAAGCAGAAATGACATTTAGAAAAGGGGTGAAACAGTCACTTTACAATGCACAAGCAGGAAAAAAAAAATACCTGTGCCTAAGGGTGGAAGAGGGTGCAAGGGAAGAAGGAGACAAGCAAATAAAACCCATCATTTCAAAACCACATACCATCGCACTGTATTGCATTAAATAAAAGAGATCTTGAGTCTGTAACAAAACCCTGGGCCGCTGACTTCACGTGTCTCAGGTACAGATTTGTGGACTTTCTCAAAGGTTGTTTTGGTTTCGCGTCTTGTGTTTAGTTTAGAAAAAGAAAAGGCAATCCGGAAGCAGTCTTATTTCTTTTTTTTTTAATTATTTCTGCACTGCCACGATCCTTGGCCCGAGGAGAAAAGGCGGTCAAAGTCAAGTTTAAAGGCAGGCAGCCCCTCGGTCTGTCTGGATACCCAGCTTTCCTTCCTCTCACTTGCAGAAGACTGTTTCTCGTGGTTGACTTGAACGCCGTCCAGGGGTGGGGGTGTGTGCGTGTGCGTGTGCGTGTGCGTGTGTGTGTGTGTGGTGGGTTTTATTGTTGTGTTAGCGGGGCTGTTCCAGGGGTGGGACTGCGCGGGGCAGATGCAGCCGCTGCGGCCGCGGGGTCGCGCGCTCGCCCCTTCCGTGCCCTCGGATTGGCCCGGCCGGAGGCGGG